ATTAGATATTAGCATGTATTTCGGCCCTGGTCAACGACCAGGCTATAAAATGCATTCAGAATTATGTCAAACTGATCATATAATTAAATTATTAAAAATGTCATACAGTATATGAATCAGGCAATTCATAAATTATTAAATACTGATTAATACTGGTTAACTGGTTAAAATACTATAATTTTTAAGCCGCAAAAAATGCTTAGAATATTGTGGGGGTTTTCTAACCAAAATTGCATAGAGAATTTTGATTAATTATCTTTTTACCTTATTTAACAGATTAGTATTTACAGTATATAAATTAATAAAATTATTAAATATACTGACAGTGACAGACTCCATCCAAACATTCCAACTGTTCACTCTCTTTGCGTTTAAAAATATGCAGAATATAACGCCTTCAAACGTGATTTGCTTAAGTTAATTGATGTCTGTTAGTTTAAGTTTGAAGCTCGCGAGTTTCCACAGAAAGAGACGATATTTGACCGAATAATTGCAGAATTTTTAGTCAAAATAGCCGCCATCTTGAATATATTTAGTACCGGGTAATTGATCTCGGAACTTGTTACCCGCGCCTCGGAACTTTTTACTCGCGCCTCGGAACTTGTTACCCGCGCCATGTTCGCTGGACCCGCGCCATTTTCGCTGGACCCGCGCCATGATCTATTGACTCGCGACCCGCGCCATTTAGACTATCCCCAACAAAAATAATATGTTTTCTAACATCGACGTTTATTTGGATATGAACCAAAGATCAACTATTAAAACATTTTTAAGTCTGGATCCAGACTTAAAAATGTTTTAATAGTTGATCTTTGGTTCATATCCAAATAAACGTCGATGTTAGAAAACATATTATTTTTGTTGGGGATAGTCTAAATGGCGCGGGTCGCGAATGCCTTGGCCTACATTTCTCGCATGTTATATTCGGTGCTCTTGGATAAATAACACCTAAATCTACCTAATTTTTTAGTATCACTTCAGTATTTTCAAGTATTCTTTCCTTAAAAATTCAAGTTACTAAAAAATCATTGAAGATGTCCAAAACTCGCTCCAGAAATATATGGAGATCATTGGATATCGGTAACTCGATACCCTTCGATTCCGCGGTCAGCACTTTTTTCCATCCAGCAAACCGCCCTATCGATTTTATAAAGTCGTTTCTTTTTGGTTTTTGTACTTTTGTTTATTAAAGGCCCGGTCACACTACACAACGATAACGATACGATAAATTGTAAACACGCGATAATTGTCAAAAAAATTGTATTAGCGTCCACACAACAACGAAAATAGTAAAATTATCCCCAGTTAAGCCCAGGTCACACTACACAACGATAGCGATACGATAACTTGTATACGCGCGCTGATTGGTCAAAAATTTATCGTTATCGTCCGACTGAAAAAAAATCGCTCAGGTGAGCGATTTTAAAATCGTTATCGTCTAACGATAATTTTACCATTTTCGTTGTTGTGTGGACACTAACACAATTTTTTTGACAATTATCGCGTGTTTGCAATTTATCGTATCGTTATCGTTGTGTAGTGTGACCGGGCCTTTAGGGTCGAGGTTAGTGTTAGTGGTTAGAGTAGGGCTAGGTTTGGCATAATTCAAAATCAGTAAACTCGATGTCTTTAACAATAAAAATGTTTTAAAATGTTAAAAACATTAAGTTTGGTGATCTTGAATTATGATTAATCGATTTTCCTAGTTAGTTTTTTCAATTAAAAGGGCTGAAATGCGCCTTAAAAACCATCGTTCAAAAGGCTGAACTGTAGTAACACCTCTTCAATCTTGCGAAAATGACGTCAGGTCAGTTTGCTGGATGGAAAATAGTGCTAACCCGATTCCGCATACACGTGTGCGTTCAGTTTGTGGTTCAGTGATAGTTGGAAATTCTGACATTCGTACTCGTATCAATCGAGTGATCATTGTTTTATTTTTGGATATTAGAATTTCTGATAGTACCAAAATGGACGTTTTGAGAAAGTGTTACGAGGTTACGTGTTCTCTTCGGGAATATGTTGAACTTCATCTACAAGAATTCAGCGCTAGTGAAGCTTTGGAAAGCTTTATGAATTCAAGCATGGTGGCTTGTAATGCCGACACGAACATGCGCCTCGATGGAGCTTTCACGACCAACAAAGCAAGCACGATGGACGAGCTACTGGAGTTCGTTATAACTCGAGCCGCCGCCAAAGGCAAAATGCGAGACAACGGTTGTCTTTGGGATATAGACGGAGCCAAATTCGACCGGCAGTGATGGGATCGCAAACAAGTGGCTATGAAAACAACATGGTCGCTCATGTTCAGTCGCCTGTCTTTGAGGAGCTACATGGAATGATCGGGAGCGATTTAATGGTCCATTTATTAAAGGACCTTAGCTTGTTTGTGAAGACAGGCTCGTGTTATTTACAAGTAGCGGGATGTCCCGTAAATGAAGTTGGTTTGAAGCAGGATACGGCGACGAAAGCGGATGGCCAAAACGGTTAGTTCAAATGTTCAATAATTCAGTTAGATTTTATGAAGCTCGCGGCAAACGTCTCAATTTACAATTCTGGGGCGGATTGTTCACAAGTCGACTAGCTTTTAATAACCCCAGGTTAACCGAAGCAAACTACTTTATTATAAATTTGTTTGATTTAATTATTATAATTCGCAATTTGTTTACACTTTATAAATTTGGAAATATTTCTTCAGAAATCTTGTCTACCTCAGCAGGAGTTGTACCCTCTGAAGTTTTGAAATAAACAGACGTGCAGAAATACAAACTACTAAAACTTTACAAAATTTTGTTTTCTTTGCTAGTAATCGGGCTTTGAACAACCGGTCCTTGAACAACCGGCCCTTGAATAACCGGCCCTTGAATAACCAACCCTTTGTTCTTCTGGGGCCAGTTGTTCAAAAGACGGCTAGCCTAACTCTGGGTAAACACAAAATTTTCCAACAGCTCATCAATCAAGTTGAATATGTTTTTCCAGAAATCTTCCCTGGTTCAACAGAGGTTTTATTTTCTAAAGTTTTGAAAAAATGATCATGCAGAAGTACATAAACAAAAACAGCAGGTTAAAATTTAACCCAGGGTTAGCGCTAATCAGACTTTGAACAACCGGCACCTGGGGCTGGGTTAAAATTAAAACAGCTGGTTAAATTTTGATTGAGGGTTAGAGCTAATCCAGCCTTGAATAATTGGCCCTGGCGATTTAGTTTCCTGTGGAACAACCACTGAACCTCCTTATAACTAATTACGCCTTGATGCACCCCACTCTATTAATTTACTCTGTCTTATTAAATGTCTGACTATTTTACTCTGTTTAGCACCAGACCATTTTACTCGTCAAGGAGATAGCGCTCGCACTTAATAGGTTAATATATTTCACAGTCTATATATTAGTTCTAATGCACCAGTCATTTGCTTCGTTAGGGGCTGTGTATATTGAAACGAGCCCAGTAAACTGGTTTATACATGGAGAAAAAATTATCCTCCTTGGGGCTAATTTTGCTGCGTTGACAGTTAAAAAAAATGGCTTGCAACTGACTGACGGCATCTTTAATCTTGGCAAGTGAGTGTTTCATCCTTGCAACCAAGATGTCAAACCCAGCTTGTCTGTATAAACACAAAGTAATTTCTGTCACAAAAATAACTACACAAGAAGCAGGGTACGAATTAAGGTGTCAAAACAGCTTCGCAAAAATTTTGGTAAATAAATACTGCCTATTTCAAAACATCCTCAGAAATACCGTATGAAAAACTAGTTACATATTATTCTGACATTGCAGAGTACAACAAAATTCATTGTCTCGAACGAATTCGAATCCCGCTTGAGACAACAAACTTTTCGTTGTACTCTGCAGTGTCTTGCTGTACTGGTTATTACTATATTCAGCTAGCATATTAAAATGCAAGACAGGTCATTTTGTTAAAAATGTTAGTTATAAATTAAGCAACAAGCAATACTTAATTTGTGTGTTCACAAATAATTTTCAAAAATAATTACTAGTAACAAGGCCACCAATGTTCACAAAAAAACCCCCGTTTAACCTTTATGTAAACGTTTCTCATATCTGAGCGTACCCAAGGAAGTCTAAGTAAAATCTAAACTGATTTAAATATTACTTACAACAGGAAACAATTGAATGAATAAGACCAAAAGGCCGAAATATATGTGCCGTGTTTTCATGTGAACTGTCAAAACATTCAGAAATGCGATTACATTCCTAGGCTACGCCCGTGCGCCAATTACTGGCATTTTGACAAACTGCAAACCCTTTTACTTTTAGGCGTAAGTAAACATCCGGTTTGTAGTATTTAGCCGCCCTTAATATTAACTGTGATTGATTACAGCATAAATTGGGATTGTATGACTGCAACCTGACTACAAAACAAAAATCAAAGCCTCGTCAAAACAATATAAACAGCAGACAAACAAACTAAAAGCAAAAACAGCGCGTTCGGCTCTCTCATATTCATGTTCGTTATGTTTATGCAATATATTTTCAAAATTTTCACTTCGCATTTTCCAGTTTGCCAAGCAATTTCGCTTCGCAAAATGTACAGATGCTTCGCAAATTGCGAAGTGCGAGCCGTTAATTCGTACCCTGAGAAGATCTTGCTCACCACTGTTACAAATAGTGGCTGGTGGCCTAACAGTTTTTATTATTAGCACGACAAAATTACTGGATGCTGATTGGTTTAGAGGAGTACAATTATTTCATTAATTGTACTGCAGTACAATTAATGATTTTCCCAAAACAAACAAAATGGCAGAAAGGTATTTTGAACACAAATGTGAAATGAAAATGCCCTTGAGGAACTAGATGAAAATACGAACAAACGCGCCAAATTTTGCTTGAACAAAAGAACTAAATGGAAATACGAACAACATTGAAAGTCTGGCAGGACTGGACTTTGGCAAGAACTCGCCCTGGCGGCTCGTCCAATTTTGGTGAAATTTCCAAACATCACAAGTACTATTAAATTAATCCCTAATTATACTCGGCATCGCATGATTACCTATACTTATTTAGGGGGGCTAATTTCCATAAAGTGTTCAGTGTTCAAAATGTTTTACGGATATGTTGGTGACTGACCCACTCTCCTTGACAAGTACAATAACCAGTATGGCATATTATTGTACAGGGTATGAAATTAAAAGTTTAGTATCCCCACTGTGAGTCCAGTATCCCCTTGTATTCAAGAGCTATCAGGTATTCAAAGGTGTTCAACTTTTTCTTAAGTACCGTAATGTTTTAAATTTTCTTAGTGTCAGTTTTGGTATCCTGCAGATATTGGGATACCTGTACTGCAAATTTTAGACCCTGTTTTGTGAACACAAAGTAATTCCTATTGTATAATAAGTACATGACATGATCTTGCTTACCTCAGGGCTATCCTGTTAACTTAACAGCCCAGCTTCCATATTTACAGAGCAAAGACTTGTTATTCTCTAGGCTTTCATATACTAACCAAATGAGTGACAGCACTCCCCTTGCGAGTGAAATAGTCTGACATTAAACAGAGTGAAATAACAAAGTAGGGCGCATCTGGGCACATTGCCACTTAAGGAGGCTCCCTACAGTTTCCAGTGTATGTCAGTGTTTTACACTAAAACCTATTTAATTAATTGGAATCTAAAAAAACCTAATTTTTTGCACAAGCCATTGTTTCCTCTTATATAAAAGAGTAATTTTAACCCACAATCGCTACTCTTCACATTACCATGACAACATGACGTCACCATCTATATGGCCTATATCAACCAAAAAAAACACCTTAGCGGACAAATAAGCATGGTGACCTACCTTTTTTATTGCAGAAAATACATTTTCAAATAACTTTCAAACAGGATTCAAAACTTCATAACAATGTATTTTCTGCAATAAAAAATTAAGGGAGGTCATCGTGCTTATTTGTCCGCTAAGACAGCTTTTTTGGTTGAAAAAGGCCATATAGATGGTGACGTCATGTTGTCATGGTAACATGAAGAGTAGCAATTGTGGATTAAAATTACTCTTTTACATAAGAGGAAACAATGGCTTGTGCAAAAAAATAGTTTTTTAGATTCAAATTAATCAAATAGATTTTAGTTTAAAACACTGACATATATTGGAAACTGTAGGGAGCCTCCTTAACAAGCTAAATGAATTAACAAGGTACATGGCCAGATTGTCTGATTAACCCATTGAGTGGCAGCACTGTCCCTTGACAAGTAAAATTGTTTGGCATTAGACAGAGTAAAATAACAAAGTAGGGTGCATCTGTACACTGGTTGCATCATACACTAACATGTCGTACAGTACTTGTTATTTCACTTCTCAAGGGGATATACAGATATTGCAGAGCACACTCCCTATCAGGGTTTTTCAGTGACTGGTTACATTGTGAATAGATACAAATGATGTAGATAGACAGAACCGGAACTGACATGAAGCAGACTGAGGTAGACTGTGAGCATACAAATGGCGCTTTTACCAGCTGCTATTAGTCCGTACCTCATTGACGATCTGCCCCCTAACCTATGAAATAAATGTCCAGCCCTTTGGGCAGCTTATACAAACAAAACCTAATCCCTTTTCTTACAAAGGCCAGTTCATCTCCATGAATATTCAAATGCCATTTCCGAAAGTATTTAAGTTGTCTGATGCTTGTGTGTATCAAGCCTGAATATAATTTTCATGGATGCCTGTTGTGCACCAATTGGGTTGTGCCTGACAATTCTCACATAGTGGCTGAGATCACAAACAGGCCTTAAAATATCGGTCGGTCACGGACATTGTCCGACCCATTTGTGAAATTGCCCTACGTACAGAGGAAACCACCGGACATTCTGTCCGACCTAAGTGAAACTGAGGTTTATTGTTTGTCCGACCCGAGTGTATTGGTGTCCGACCGAACTGTTGTTTTGTCAATCAAAATGTTGCTGGCGGCAAGCGAAATGGTGAAGTGAAAAACGAACTTGAGTGTCGACATCTTGCTGTTGTTATTGGGATGCAAGTTAATTTAGATATTTAATATCTTCGCAACGTTTACCGTTCAGAATTAATACACTGTGCTGATATTCGTTTGTGTCATTCAGATTTATTTTCGAGCCAAACTGAACTGAAGCTCATCGGACATCATCATACATATGTCTGACCCAAACTCAAAGTCATCGGACACTTTGTCAGACGGCTCTGTAAAAGATATTTTAAGGCCTGCACAAATATTGGAATATTATAGTATTAATTAATATTGAAAATGCAAACATATACTTAAATGTGACCTGGCAGCAAGTGCAAAGAAGAGACTGGTGCAAATTGTGTTGTGACAGGCCATTTTCACTGTTTTCACTCAAATCAGTGTAGCATACATACTGTTCAGTGAGAAAAGCATTTAGCCGGACATTTGCTCTTTATGTCTCGGACAGTGTCTGTGTTCGGCCTCTTATTTTCAGGCTTTGTGTACATTTTTGTTAACCCTTTAAGCAGCAATGTGCCCTGTTGCACCCTACTATATTATTTTAATCTGTATAACACCAGGCGATTTTACTTGTCAAGGGGAGAGGGTTGCCACTCAATGGGTTACGTGGCAATTTCAAATACAATGTAAACAATATTGTTGGTCTGTGGGAGTGCTCTTGATGATGAGTAAAATGGTCTGGCATTAGCCAAAGTATAATTATAATAAATTTGCTCGGTGCAATTCAACTTGATGGGTTAAGTAGACACATGGGCAGATTTAACCCATTGAGTGCCAATTGTCTGGTGTTAGACAGAGTAAAATAATAAAGTAGGGTGCATTAAGCTGCAATACACGCTTCCGGAAAGTACGTCACCTTGGCTATAGAGCCTCGTTTTCGTGATTAAGACGTGGCCTCTATAGCCAAAGTGACGTATTTCCGAAAGGGTGTTTTAAACTTAATCGGTTAATTTAATGGCATGTTGGAGTGACTATTTTGCATAGGATTGCATCCATATACCATACTTTGTTATTATTTTACTCCATGACAATTTTAATTGTCAATAGAAAAGTGCCAGCTATCTGCCCAATTGTGTCCTGTTTACCCTTTAAGCGACATTGACATTCACCCTACTTTGTTATTCTACTCTGCCTAAAACAAAGGTCGAATCGAGGTTCGAGGAAACTTCATTAATAAAAAATGCTGGTCCCGATAAGATTTAACCATCTATATACTTTCTAAAAATAGTTAGCGCTGACGTTGCTTTGCAAAGGAAAATACTGTTATCATTTTTACTAAATGAAATAAATTTTACTAACTGTACACATTGCTTATAGCACACTGTTAACTTGAACTGTGATCTATTTTGTACATAGCTGTTGGACAATTTTACTTCTCAAGAAAAAACCCACTCGGTGTCAAGCCACTGTGCATGCAAAGCCCATTATATAATAACTACAGTGAAACACGCAATTTGATTGGTCAACAGCCGTGCAGTATCAGACAATCCTGCACAGGAAATTCTGAACAGAAATTCTTGCACATAATTTTACAAATATACTCGCATTGTAAAGTTTCATTGCACGATACCTTTCGACTTTGAAGTAAGTTTGCAATTATTGAGACGTTGGTTTAGTTGTATGAATAAATTTCTGATCGATAAAACGCGTAGCGTTGAAATTCATCAGACCATGGCATGCAAGTACAACATCTCTCGCTTCAAAGTTGATCAAACGCTTCGCAATCTTCACGTATTCAGGTCGAGAATCTTCAAAACTACTTTGGCTCTCTGATTAGCGGGTTTTCCATTTCAAATTTCGTATATTTTATCGAAAAAGTCCCGGTATTTTCGCTGTATATTTTTGCGAATATAATTTGCGATCAAATTCTGTTCACATTTGTTGTTGTTTTCAATAGCGTGGAGTAGCGATTCTGCGATTGGTTAATTCACGATTGTTGTGAGAACTGCACATTTCATCAGTAATTTTAATCAAGTTAACCGTCGTTTCACTGTAGTAATTTTATAACACAATTACCAAATGGTTTTCCCGTGCAGGATAGCATGATCCATGAACTTGGGATGTTGCTCGAAAGTCTCCCAACATCCGAAAGTCTCCCAACATCCCGCGTGCATGGATCACGCAATCCTGCACGGAAAACCATTCGGTATTCCTTTAATAATATATTTTGGTCAAATACCAACGCAAGTCGTTTTACTATCAGGAGGAAAATTATGCTCCTTAACCTATTGTATTGCTTTGCGGCCCAATGCCGTCTACAGTGCTTTATTATTTTTATATATTACATCAGATGATCGTTCTCGTCTATGAGAGAGTACTGGTGCTCAATGGGCTAAGCCCAAGATTAAGAATATCCCCGTAAATCAGGGCTCGAAATAGCGGACTGCCAATGGCAAAAAGCAGGTGATATTTTAGAAATGGCAGGCAAAAACAAATTTTAACTGCCAAAGTAAAAAAAAAATGGCAGGTGAAATTCTATAGATATAATTCATTAAAGCAATACCGAATGATTTTCCGTGCAGGATTGCGTAATCCATGCACACGGGATGTGGCAAGACTTTCGGACAGCGTAAAAATACACGAGCCGTAGCGAGTGTATTTTTACGCTTTCCGAAAGTCGAGCAACATCCCAAGTGCATGGATCATGCTATCCTGCACTGGAAAACCCATTTGGTAATTGTTTTATATAATTACTACAGTGAAACGACGGTTAACTTTGAAATTACTGATGAAATGTGCAGTTCTCACAACAATCGTGAATTAACCAATCGGAGAATCGCTACTCCACGCTACTGAAAACAACAACAAATGTGAACAGAATTTGATCGCAAATTATATTCGCAAAAATATACAGCGAAAATACCGGAACTTTTTCGATAAAATATACGAAATTTGAAATGGAAAACCCGCTAAACAGAGAGCCAAAGTAGTTTTGAAGATTCTCGACCTGAATACGTGAAGATTGCGAAGCGTTTGATAAACTTTGAAGCGAGAAATGTTGTACTTGCATGCCATGGTCTGATGAATTTCAACGCTACACGTTGTATCGATCAGAAATTTATTCATACAACTAAACCAACGTCTCAATAATTGCAAACTTACTTCAAAGTCGAAAGGTATCGTGCAATGAAACTTTACAATGCGAGTATATTTGTAAAATTATATGCAAGAATTTCTGTTCAGAATTTCCCGTGCAGGATTGTCTGATCCTGCACGGCTGTTGACCAATCAAATTGCGTGTTTCAGTGTATTTAATATATAATTCATTTTCTTTCCACGACTCATATAGACTAGATCATTTAGTTGACTAAATACACAAATCCAAAAAAAACAATAAAAATGCATATTATGAAAACATTGAATCCCATTGATTTTTACAATGTGACTCATATGAGACATTAGAGAGTTTTAGCTTGACGTTTACGGCAAACGTCAAACCGCTAACGAAGTTTTTGATTTTACAACTCTATTATAACAGCTTTTACACCAATTTTGAAATATAAACAATTATTAAACTTGTGCTCTTTAGCAAGATTTAAAAGAAAGCAAATTATCCACTAGTCACGTATTCGCGAAAGCAGTAAATTAAGATTTGGCGTTTGAATTTTACGTTTGGCGTATAAATTTCATGCTTTAACGACTATACAAGCCCTCATAGCAGTTCGAGCATGAAATTTATACGCCAAACGTAAACTTCAAACGCCAAATCTTAATTTACTGCTTTCGCGAATACGTGACTAGTGGTTAATTTGCTTTCTTTTAAATCATTGCTAAAGAGCACAAGTTTAATAATTGTTTATATTTCAAAATTGGTATAAAAGCTGTTATAATAGAGTTGTAAAATCAAAAACTTCGTTAGCGGTTTGACGTTTGCCGTAAACGTCAAGCTAAAACTCTCTAATAGCCTGCTCACAGACGTTGTTATTCTTACGCCAAGCGACGAATTACTACCGTCTGCTTACCCGAGCGCCAAACTGAATTCCGCTACGTCGACCAATCAGAATTTACCTTCCAAATTCTGGAAACTGACGTCAGTTGATTTAGGAGCGGAATAAATATAAATATATATAAATATATATTTTGAAAGCAGTCGTCGGTTGAATTTTGCTCAAAATTGCACATAAATTGAATTTAAAGATACTGATACTTGTCCAGGTAATAAAATGCACCATTAATGATTATAGTTGGATATTAAAGATGTTCGGTTATATTTAAACGCGGACAGGATTGGCATATTTGATATACTGTATGAAGCCAGACAGGCGAGACAGCATCAAATGCCGAATATATTTCGCTGAAATTTGAACTTTTGACGGATGTTTATCTTTATAAGACAACAGAACTCGGAAGACAGAAAATTTGATATAATCATGTGGCTTAGAAAGCGAAATATTAGCTTCAAAGTAAACTAATTTGCTGTTTGGGCAACCTCTTCTGAATGTAAACTGTAAAGTTAACACAACACAAACCCGAGAAACTTGTATTGAAATTGCGTCGTGATGAGTTTTCCAATTCGCCCAAACTTTGAAACGTTTATACTCTAACTTGGCTATACTTTTGTACATGACAATGAGAACTTAATCTTTTATAAGTTTAATAATAACTAGGTGTATTAGTTATGTAACGTTGTCAAGTTGGTAACAACGATGTAAACAACTTCGATAACATGGGGGAAGATAATATGCACAGGTTTACAAAATATGATTTTTTCTCTGTTGGTGTTGTGTACTCAGGTGAATAAGATGCTTGTGATGTTACTCTGAGTGTATATCCACACCGGACGAGTTTGAAAAATATACCCGGCCACGGTGGGAATCGAACCTACGACCTTTGGAATACTAGCTCAGTTGGAATACTAGCTCAGTAGCTCAGTTGGCAGAGAATTGGGCTAGTATTCCAAAGGTCGTAGGTTCGATTCCCACTGTGGCCGGGCATATTTTTCAAGCTCGTCCGGTGTGGATATAAACTCAGAGTAACATCACAAACATCATATTCACCTGAGTACACAACACCAACACAGAAAAAAATCATATTACTAGATTACACTGGTATCGAAGGAACTAGATTCTGTTCCGAAATATCAGTTACTCGAACCGTCCTGACCGCGTGGTAGCTCAGTTGGCAGAGCATTGGGCTAGTATTCCAAAGATCGTAGGTTCGATTCCCACCGTGGCCGGGCATATTTTTCAAGCTCGTCCGGTGTGGATATAAACTCAAAGTAACATCACAAACATTTTACAAAATATGTTTCCATTCTTATCTGTGTAGATGAGAGACGACCTGTCATGGATGGCAGTACATTGGTGAGTCGCCAAATTTACCATGCTGTTGGCAGTGACAAGAAAAGATGTTTGCCAAAAACCCATGTAATGGAAACTACCCCTTCATCATCATCGGGTGCCATTTCCTTAATGACACTCATATTCCAAGACAAAGATAGCAAACGTCTCGCTAAATGCCTGAGGGATTCTGTGGATGTTTTTGTCGTGTTTTTGAGACGTCACAAGTCTTGCCCATTCAAGGTGCTTTTGGATAAGTACTGCCCTGTTGATGGCAAGTATGAAGATACTGGCAGTGTTAAAAACGTTCCATATTTTCAGGTAATTTTTGCAAATTTAATTGTGTTAGTATGCTGTGCAAGAATGGTTTTTGATATGTGAATCCATTAGAGAAGTTAATTCGTATGGCACAATGGATGATTCCAGGTAGCGACTACTTTTTTATCTAGACAAGAAAGACGAAATCTATCATTGTAGCTCAAAAGAGAATTCTAAAATTTGTAAAATTGCAAGGTTTGGTTGCGAAATGTTGTAAATTACGAAAAATATAGCCATGTGAAATTAGCAAATTTTGAGTATTTTTGTATTACGCGCGGAAAAATGCACCACTTTTGGCTCAAAAGTGGCGATCTCTACTCCTCTAAGCCGCTCAATTATTCAACAATTTTCTTTGCGTTTCCTCGACGAAAACCCACATGAAAATGCTCGTCTGAAAACCTCGGTTATTGTCGTATTTTACGAATCTGCCACGTGATTTATGATCACCGATACGCTCACGATGACACGAAATTTAGAGGTACATGAAAGTTGCATGCCATATATGGCATGGAACAAAAAATGGATAGCATAATTGTGACGTATATCAACATAATTTTGCATTTCTATAGGTAAAATCTTTGTGCTTGGCGATATGTAAACGTGTTATACCATTGAAGATCTGGGGATCACAGGTGAACAGGACGGCTTTTATTTCAAATATGGAGCGGTACTTGTCGTTGCGAAAGAAAGGCAATATGAGCGTCAAGAACGTAATGCAGGGCATTCGAATCAGCGATTGCGATTTTGTAAAGCTCCCAAAACGTGCACATGACTGCCGTGCTAGTCAATCCGAGTCGAACAAGAGACAAGGGCTGGTTACAAAATTTTTTGTCTGGCTGATGAACTCGTACATCGCGCCGTTGTTGAGAAATGCTTTTACCATCACGGAATCTATTCCTGGCAGAAATCGTGTGTTCTTCTACCGGAAGGAGGTGTGGGCAGATGCGCAAGCCGCCGCGGTTCAGGATATGCATTCATTAACTCCATTACTCGAGGAAGACGCTGGTACAGTGGAAAGTCTTGGACTTGCGCCAATGCGGCTAATTCCTAAAACTTGGTAAGAATAACATTATTCAAAATAGTAACGTTTTTCGTATAACCGCTGATTCGCGCATGCGTGTCCTAACGATTTACCAACAGTTCATGGAGGCATACTGGGTAGATTGTTTAAAGTTTTATATACAGTATAATCCATCTCATTTCTACTTAGGCTGTATACTTTTGTCGAAGAATGGTTACCAGTGATAGAACGTTTTGGATTTGGTCATTTATCTGTTTCAACTAGAGCGTAGATTCTAGGGCTATTTATGCCACCGAAAGTAAGGCGCGCCTTGTACGCGTGACTAAATAAGTCGCGAAAGACTGGTATAAAGAGTGCTGTGCTGAGTGGTTATATTACTACCTGAAACAAGCAGAAACTCGACCTTTCGAGCGAAGGCCCTTCGTCAAGAGTTAGTAGCGACTAGTTGGCTCGAAACGTCGAGTTTCTGCTTGTTTTTCAGATAGTAATATAATTACCACTCAGCACAGCATTTTTACATTGGTACTACCGACACTGGTACAGGCAGTTTTGGTATAGAGAGTGAAATTGGAGAAGATATATAGTTAAAAATTCTAATGGTGTTATTCCCAGGGCTTTCAGAATTATTCAGGGTAGGTGTCTATTTTGATAAAGTAGGTGGCTGTAGGGAGGGGACCGTCTACTTAGGTACATTGATTACATAGCAACACAACACAAATTATGATGTATCACTACTTTCTTTCTTCAACAAGATTTATTGTCAATTTTCAACGTCACTTTTCAACGCGCGGTTTCCAAGTTCGTTGCGAACTTGCCAATTACGTTTCCAAGTTCGGAAATTGGGCGCGAAATTTCATACTCAATAATAATGACCAATTCAATGAAATACAAACCTTTTGGTAGCCCACTCGACCAAGAACTTTCCATTGAATTGTTAATTTCAACTTGAACTATGAACGTTTGTTTACAATAGTTCAAACATTGAAACGTACTTGCGATCTTTGTTGCAAAGTTCACGCCCAATATTTGAACTTGGAAATGTAATCGGCAAGTTTCCAACGAACTTGGCAACCGCGCGTTGAAAAGTGACACGAAATCGACAATAAGGTGGCAAATAACTAAATCAGTTTTACGAAATAGTACGTCGTTTTCGAAAATAACCAGGCTATAAAGTACAGACTAAGTTGAGGAAAAATAACTTTGTTTGAAAGCTTAGAATGGAGGAAGGAGAGCAGAATTGATTTTTCAAGTACTAAACAAAGTAACCGGCAGTAAACCTCGTGCCACCCGCCGGAGCTCCGGCGACCGCCGGGTTATTTTGAAAGCCCTGTATTTCTCCCTAACACACACTGTATTTAAAGTTAATTGTTGTCAGCGTTAACTGGTGAAGTGCAATCCTTAGCTGTTATTAGTTAATTACAATGACTTGATTCGTTTTGGCTATCATCAACCTTTCACGGGGAATTATAATTAAGATAGTGATTGAAAATCACGTATACAATTCATTATTGTCTTACTGAAAAATATTGATCAGATTAACAATACATGCTAGGGTATTAAAAGAGGGCGTCCAATTTTCACATAACGATACATCTACAGTAAAGGGGGGGGGGGAGTGTCGAGAAAACGTTCCTCTGGAAAACCTTTGAAGTTTATGTTACTTCATGTTAGTATCTTTCCAACCTCGTTTGAAATTTTTCAAACACATTTGGCTTTGTGAGTTTGTGCCACTATTGCTTCTTTCGATAACTACCACGTTTTCATTCAGCCAGGTACACCATCAAATTGATCACAATGTCAAATGTATAATAGTAATGAGAATTCAAGCTATTTCGTTTGGGATTTATTAATATACTTCGGGAATCATTGAAAATAATTTCCCTTTCCCCCCACAATTTGGGCGTTCAAAGGCGTCCACCTAGGGGCGTCCCAGGAAGCCCTTCTGGCTAAAAACCTGCCTAGCATCGTTAACGTTAAAATTTACAACGTTTTCACTGCAGTTTACGCTAACTATACATTTTTGAAAGTCACCTAGATACATATATGGGTAAAGTTAACCACTATTTGACTACAAAATGGATAGTTTTATACAACCGGCCGCAGAACATCACAAGATTATTAATATCTTGTACAAAATAGGAATGCAACAAGATTATCTGTCCACTGCCCATATGCATGTTTAATCTGTGTTTTTGAATTTGCATGATCGCGAACTATTTCGAGACTTGAGTCATTAAATAACTTATCTCAAAGGATGACTTTTGTACCTTAATTGAATGTAAAATTTTCAATGAATATTTACAGTGTCATTTTAATTTTCAATAGCGGACTACGTCCAATTGCCAACTTGGGTGCCAAGATCAACCCTTCTGACAGCTTTCCTTACCAGCCACGCTCGGTAAACCAGTTGTTGAGCAACATCGAAAGCGTCCTGGGGTACGAACGCCAGCGGTCTCCAGACTTACTGGGAGCAGCCGTCATGGATTACGGGGAGATCTTTCACAAAATATCATCGTTCAAAGGCATGCACAAAGGGGATGGAAGATGCTTGCACTTTGTACGGTTGGATTTCACCAAGTGCTACGAACGTATAAACCAAGATAAAATGCTTGAAATTCTTGAGCAGGTACAGTGATTACATTTTATGCACCAGTCAATACAACTCTCTGCTCCCCCCAACCGGGGAGGGGCGGGGGCATTTGGCGGGGAAAGTGGTCAGTTTGATTGTAAATGTGTCCCCCCCCCCCCGGTGATGGGAGACTTCGACGACATTTTCTCTTTCGATAGGCGATGCGGGGACGAAAGAGGGGGGGGGGGTGTGGATTTACTGGCTAACATATATGCCTGTGTTGCTGTTTTAGTTTTCTTTACAAGAAAAGCTCAAATACAATAACATAAATGAATATGAGTTTCTGTTCCTATGAAATATATAATACTATTTTCCCGGGGTTCAGAGACATGTGTGGACATTGATTAATTTCCCTTCCCCTGGAGGTGAGGACAATTTCACTCTTTTAATATCCCTCTAAGTCAGTGCCCTTCCCTGGTTGGGAGAGGGTGGATTTACATTGACTGGTGCATTACGTTAACTAGTTTTAGGATTTTAGTTTGCACAGTAGGAGAACCCCGCATTGAGACTTGAATAGTCAAGATAATTCTGTCAAAAGAATCAACTTTTAATAATCTACTGACAGACATTTTTTTGCCTTATAGAGTAATATTTTGCTAATTTAATAAATTGATCACTTTAGAAAAATATATATTCAAAAGCAAGTTGTTTGTCACGCAAGCATAGATATTTGTATTGACTGCTGTTGCTTGACGAGATTAAGGTGCTCTTCCCAGGACCGTAGCTAGTATGTATAGTTGGGGGGAGGGAGGGGGGGAGGGGAGGGGGGTTGTGTTGGCCAAAAATTTCCAAATGACGAAAAAAATCCGAATATTTCATGGCATACGAAGCCACGAAGGTGTTTGCTATCCGGAAAATGAAGTCGCAATTTACAAACAAAAATACGCATATTTTACGCACAGGCATATTACAGAACAATGCAGTGCCGTAGGAAGCTCGATTTCATTGTGGGTCTGAAAGCGGGGGCCGAAGGCCGGAGGAAATGTTTTAATTTAGAGTCTCTGAAATGCCATTTCCTGGACTTTGGGGAAACTTTGACAGAATTGTGTTGGTCAGAAAATAGCGTTTTAGTTTGTAGAAATTTGTAATTCGCTAACAATTTAGTAGCCCTAAATGGGCGAAGGCGTATTTAATTAACTATATATTGGAGAAGTTGCGGGAAAGTACGGGTAATATGATTCTTTGCAGTTTGTCATGGATAATGTAACCGCTTAAAATGTATCAATGATCAGTATTTTAAAGGTATATTATTTGATTTATTTCAATGATAAAGGTCTGCATGATTTTGAAAAAAGAATGATTATTAGTAATTGCTACGGCCCTGAGAAGTAATAAACCGAAAAACACTTCCCGATTTACCATTTGTTAATTGTTATCCATGTAAATACAATTATATTATATTTTCTCTGTTTAACAACTAAAATTTTGTTATACTATTATTGCCGTAATTTTCCGAATGGCCAACCTGATTTTCCGAATATGTTAATCCTAAAAATGTTTTTTTTGGGGGGGGGGACCCCCAAAAAGTTTACGCACAAATTTACTCTAAACTGACAAATCGGGCAAATTGTACCCATTCTTATGGTAAAACGATAATTCTATCTGAAGCAATAAGATACATATGCGATTGGGTTATTCTATTGTTCCATTTTTTAATTATATTGTTCTATGTAAGTTATTCTAATAACGGAACAAAAAAGCAGGGCTCGAAATAACGGCCGATCAACGATCACTGATCGACAGGAAATTGTTTTTGATCGGCGAAAGAGCAACGTTGCCGTTCATCTTGATCGGCAAGAAATATATTTGAGTAATTTAACCATTGTCTGAAAGACATGCTTACCTGTACGCGGTAAAAGACAAATAAAAATAACATGAAACACATTCAAAAACACGCGAAAAACTCTTGTTTAATTGATACGAGTCATACGACAGGCCGCAATGCTATGAAGTATTGTCGTTATTTCAACAGTCTGCAATCCGAACCACGCCGACGAACCGGTCTTTGTCATAATAATTTCGAATTGGTAGGATTTTTTGAGTAGGATTTTTTAGGATTTTCTCTTTTAATATTAAATAATAAGTTTTAGTGAACTGCTGTGTTTCTTGCTTTTGTGTGAAAAAATACAATTACAGTATACTATAATTAAAACTAATTAAACTAAAGTTTACCATGGTAATACATGTTAAATGTGGTTACACTATTAGTATTGTCAGTATTGTATATATATAAAGTCCACAAATGCCATAGATTTAATTGTTTAAACTCGAATTTGAAATGAAGTTATTAAACGTCCTCTTTAGATGTGTATTTAATGGCATATTTAGAATATTTTCAAGGAAATGAGGGCAAATGCTCCTGCACTCTAAAAACACTCTGGTTAAATTTGGGTTAATTCAACCAGTACGGGGTTAAAAATCCACCTACACAAGTCTGGTTAAAAAAAATTAACCATTTTCCTGGTTAAAAGTCCAAAAAAGTGTACCAAATTTTTGTTGAATTGATAATTTTTAACCAGGAAATGGGTTAAATTTAACCAGAATGTGTTGGGTGGATTATTAACCCAATTCCTGGTTGAATTTAACCAGAGTGTTTTTAGTGTGATCGGCCAAATTTTTATTTGATCGGCAGAAAGTCGTGATTGCCGATCACCATGATCGGGAACGTTGGGAACGTTATTTCGAGCCCTGTTTTTTATTTATTTTTATTTAGCTTTAATTGCCAACTAGGGCAGGGTCACCACAACAGCATAGGGCAATTACATACTGTTGGGTCCTTCTTCCTAACCCACCCTGTCAACTTTCTCTGTGGGAGGAAACCGGAGTACCCGGAGAAAACAGAGTGTTGGCAGAGTGTTGACTTTTTACTCTTTTCACCTGAGGACTGGGTCCGAGTTGCACTGAGAAGGCCTTATTCCATTAGCTGTGTATTTTTTAGATTCAAGACATAGATTGATGTTTTATATGTCATTTAATTTTTTTGTTTGCAAATCCTTAGTGATTAAGTTTCACTCACATCCTTTTTGGAGCAAACCCTATGTTTACCCTATAGGGAGGCCTATGGTAGTTACTATGACAATGCCAAATGTAAAAGTTACTGATCCTGTGTCAATATCATATTTAACTCAAATGTGATGACAAAAGAGCACAGTTAATGTTTATCACTTACTATTGTTCTAGGTTATTAAGGAAGACGAGTATACCATCCGGAAGTATTGCACTGTGAAAACGATATTCAATGACAACCTTGTGTTCAAACACCGACAACCTGCAGCTCCCGCTGAGGATAATCGATACTTCCCAGCTTTTGTGGAGGATGTAACGCGCAAGAGGAAGTTGAACAATTCATTGATCGTGGATAAGATGAACTATGGCTCTGTCTGTCGCGATGAGTTGATGAGGGATTTGGTGAAGCACATCAAGGGCAATATTGTTCAACTATCTTCTCAAAAATACTTGCAGAGTTGTGGTAAGTCTCATTTAATGTTGTAGATTATCCGATAATGTTGGACGTTGGATTGCACCCCACTGGGGCTGTTAATTTGATACAATATTGCGCATGCGTGTATATGAGCCCAAGGTGGCAAAATACTAAGTACAGTAGAATCGAGACCTGATATTTCCCCTTTTTGAGAGTGAATCCAAATACGAGTTTCGTTACCTGGAACCAATGAACTCAATTTATTTACTTTACCTGGAACGATAAATGAATACCAAAAACATGGAAAAATGTATAGATACAGTTGGCCTGTGTTTGTTTAAAGGTGGATCTGAACTACCGAGGATATGCTTTTAAAGAGGCTACCTATAGTTTCGTCTGAGGCTCATTTAGCCAAATTGTCTGCGTCTTGCGCGTCGAATACGTATGGTCTTTTTACACAAACTCCAAAAGTATTTTTAATCACTTTTAGTGTTTATCTTGGAAAGAAAGATGCCAGTTTTTAAAAAAAAATTATGTCATTTAAAAAATCTTATGTAATTTAAAAAAGTGCGTGTCTGTTGTTAAGCAGTTTTTAAGCTCTCGTTTTGTATGTTTCTCATCTATTCACGTTTAGCATTTGCCTTTTAAGTGATTAAAAATCTTCGTACAAACGTATGAAATTGCGGTTTTGCTACAAGATGGCAACTTGTACACTTGTTTTAAAGGGGCACTATCATTAAAATTTTTTTTTCATAATCCAGAAATATAACGTATGCTTGATATTCTTACCAAATTTCAAGCAAAATTCGTTCATCTTCCTGACTTTTTTACGATTCTTATTTGCCAATTTTACGGCCGCCACTAAACGCGCCCTATTAAGCGAGAAGGCGTTTTGAAGAGGATGTGATGTCATTCACTCAACACACCGAATGTTTTTATTGTATTTCACTACTATTTAAACAATGTCTTCGTACAAATTCATACAAAGGAGAGTCAGAAACTTCAGAAAGTGAACATTCGCATTGGAGCAAAGCGAGCTGTGATGAGGAAACGTACGGTGACTCACATTCAAGTGAAAATAGTGATGAAAAGATGAAATCAAACCTAGAATTGTTATTTGTTATCTGTTAACAATAAATGGCTATCTTGTTTGTTGTTGAAAACATGACCTTTGGCAGGCTTTCGGTCAATAATAATCCTTGTTTTTACAAACTTACTTTTGCAGTTGAAAAGGATAATTTTCATCACTCGTTCAAAGTTTGCTTTAGCATCACTTTATACTTCTTTAATATACATCAGAGCAACTTGATAGTTTCTCACGTACACAAAACATAAGCAGCGATGGAAGGAAAACCTTTAGCGAACTGCGTATGATATAAATAAACCTTTCGGTCAATCAAAATACGAACAAAAATACAAACAAATGCCTTGTAATTTATAGCTATAAATAATATTTCAATTCATGTGCATGTCTGTCTAATAACTGTCTATCGGTCTATTTCTGTATGTTTAACGACTGTAAATTAAACTGACATGCACTCAGGGAATTTTGTAGTGCAAGTAAATATCCTACGACTCTATGCGCGTTTCGCTTGCCGTAAGATTCATTGTAGGCCGGCTAGTATTGTATAGCAAACTATATAAGTATAAAAAGGTCACGCGCGACGGGGATAAATACAATAGTTGATTTTACAACTTGCATGCATTTGAAAAGTAGATGTGTAATTTTCAACTTGCGCCCATTGCCACTGGCATTGAGTATATTAAAGGTTTATATTACTATAAAAGTATGGAAAACAAATATTGAACTGATTTGAAGCATTATTAATTTAGCATATTAATTCTGTGATTCGGTCCCGAGATATTATTCGTTCTATTTATACAAATTATCCGATTCAAATGCAAGTTGTAAAATCTGAAATCAACTTATTCAGTTATTGTTATATGCAATATCTTTCGCATAATATCAATACCTCGATATATACCGCGTTTATACGTGTCCCAGGGCAAGCGAAAACGCAGATAGAGTCATAGGATATTTACTTAATCTCCAAGTACACTAAATTCCCTGAGTGTCAGTTTAATTTACAGTCGTTAAAAATACTGAAATAGACCAATAGACACAATCGTTGAAATCATGTGTTTATAACTATATATAACTTACATTTATTGTCAACAAATATTAACAATTTTTTCTGTGTTGGTGTAGTGTATACTCAGGTGAATATGATATTTGTGGTGTTACTCTAAGTGTATATCCACACCGGGCGAGCTTGAAAAATATGCCCGGCCACAGTGGGATTCGAACCTACGACCTTTGGAATAGGTCGTAGGTTCGTAGGTTCGAATCCCACTATGGCGGGCATATTTTTCAAGCTCGCCCGGTGTGGATATACACTCAGAGTAACACCACAAATATCATATTCACCTGAGTACACTACACCAACACAGAAAAAAAAAATTCATATTACTAGAATACATTGGTATCGAAGGAACTAGATTCTGTTCCGAAATATCACTTACTCGAACCGTCCTGACCGCGTAGCTCAGTTGGAAGAGCATTGGGCTAGTATTCCAAAGGTCGTAGGTTCGAATCCCACTGTGGCCGGGCATATTTTTCAAGCTCGCCCAGTGTGGATATACACTCAGAGTAACACCACAAGTAAAATATTAACAATTCTAGGTTTGATTTCTTCTCTTCATCACTATTATCACTTGAATGTGAGTCACCGTACGTTTCTTCATCACAGCTCGTTTTCCTCCCATGCGAATGTTCACTTTCTGACGTTTCTGACTCTCCTTTGAATTTGTACGAAGACATTTTTGAAATAGTAGTGAAATACAATAAAAACATTCGGCGTGTCGAGTGAATGACGTCACATCCTCTTCTAAACGCCTTCTCGCTTAATTGGGCGAGTTTAATGGCGGCCGTAAAATTGGCAAATAGGAATCGTAAAAACGTCAGGAAGATGAAGGTGTCACAGAACCAATCAAGAGAATCTTCAGTAATTGTAATATTAAGGTTGCCTTAAAACCCTATTTGACTTTAGGCCATATTTTCGCAAAGCCAAAAGATCCTGTTAAAACAAATCACAAAACTCGTACATTCTATACCATGCGGTGACTGCGAGAAAGAGTATTTGGGTCAGTCTAAACGCCAGTTTGGTACATGGCTAAGAGAACATCAAAAGGCTGTTTCAACTTTAGACAAGGGAAAATCAACTTTAGCCGAACATGTATGTTAGACCAAACACGAGATTGCGTGGGAAAACTCTAAAGTAATTACCGCAAACAATCGCTATGGTCAAAGACTTTGCCTAGAAGCGTGGCATATAAATATGAGTAATCATGCTTTGAATAGGGATGACGGTGCCTATTTGCCAGAGGAATATATGCATCTCATTGGCAGGTGACGTCATCCCTTGGGTATTTAAGAAGTCACAATTGCAATTTTAGATCACCCCTGACGAAGACACTAGACTGGAGTGTCGAATCGTTGGGTCTTGATTACAATTCGACTGGGCTTTGTAATCATTTATTTAAACCAGAGTAGCGAGCGAAACATGATTGATATACCCGGTTGCAGTGAACGAACAAACTTTAAAACAATAAAATATTCCTAAATGAATGTCTTTTTGAATTAATTTTGCGCCCTTGGTCGCAGTTGTTCGACCATTTTAGGGTGCACAGAAAATGGCCACTTTCTTATATTAGGATTTGTGTGACTATAAAATCCGGGAATATCCGAACAATCTTCACGATAAATTATTATTATATAGAATAATACAGATCATGTCGAGATAGATTTTTGCGTACATGAGATGTGTATTGATTACCAGAAATAACCGGATTCTATTGGAATATTGGATTCTCAACGATTTTGCAAGGCGCTTCTGAATTGTTCATTATCAATGTTCAGTTTATCCCATTTTAAACGTTGTATTATAAAAGTATTCTGAATAGTGTTTTTGGCAACATGTATTATCAATGGAATCTCCAGGCGATAGTAAATAAATACTACATATTTGCTATTAATGCAATTATTTTCTTTATATTTTAAAACGATTCGTTATCTACGTCCCATATTATCATATCTTTTGTATATAACACTTTTTAGATCGACCCTTGCCATATGTAAACATAAACAAAAGCGCGCAAAGCATTACCGTGAAACTCATTCTTTAAAACTAGTATGTTGAATTACTGTAGTCATGTGCTGTGTGCAAATTCTCAAAAACTTTACATCTAGGCGATTTCAAATGGCCCTAAAATGTTTTTAACGCTTTTTATACTCCATAAATCTTTAAACCAATAAAAACGTATTTCCTAACAACTACTGTACAAAATATAACATGAAGCAGCCGAAGTAAAATGTATAAAATACATCAGGACCGTTGTTTGCAAAATTCCGTTGTTTGCAAAATTTGTTAATTTGTTTGAAAAGTAGCCCTGGGATATCTTGCTTTTTTAAATAAAAAGCTCGCAGCTTCATGAGTGAAGCAAAATCATTCGGCGCGTTGCAAAGCACTTAACGTTAACTAGCACTTAACACTATTTTTATGCAACTGATTTTGCAACAGATTTTTCGACCACTCCACTCACCAGAGAATTTGATGGTGAATCATGTTCTTTTGTCTTAATTCATGCTATATTTGATTTTTTTCTGAAGTATCTGTGTGAACATTGTGAATAATCATGCACTTTGAAGTTCTTTATACGAAAATTTGAAAATATTTATTGTTTTTATTTTGTGGTAGGTATTGCACAAGGTTCGAAGATCTCTCCTATTTTGTGTAATCTTTATTTGGGGCATATGGAAAGAGAAGTTTTTCCAGATGTTTTGTGCGACAAAGATTCGCTATTGATGCGCTGGATGGATGATCCTTTGCTAGTCACATATGACCTGGAGTTGGCAAAGCGTTATCTTACAACAACGCTTGAACTTGATCCAGCGTATAACTGCAAAGTCAACGTCGAGAAATGTCTGGTAAACTTTGATATCCCTGCCCAAAAGAAGATAAATCTGCTTCCTGAATGTGACTGTTGGATTTCCTGGTGTGGCCTTCTAGTGAACACGGTTACATTGGAAGTGAAGTATGATTACTCCAAAACCCAAGGTATGTTTTTTTGTGGATATATTATTTTAAAGCACACATGACACAGAATTTTTCTTCCCAGATTCTATCTGGCCCATTTGTTCAATTATTTGCTTCCAACAAAACAGAAAGGGTGTTTTGAGATTTTCGTTTATTATTATCGTTAATTGCAGTGGTGTACATAATCTGTTGAATTAAATAAAACTTTGTAAAAGTGTCTACTTACTTTTGTATGTAATTGTACAAATTAACATGTAAAACGCCCCTCCTTAGTCCTGTCTCAAGCCCAATTTACACTACATAACTTTTGACTAAAACTGTCGTATGCAACCTGCTTACAACCTGTTTAAATCCAGCTTACAACTGACCTACACTCGAGTTGTGTGCTTGATTTACACAGTACAACGCATGTTGTAAGCATGTTGCATGCGACAATTTTAGGCAAAAGTTGGAATGTAAATCGGCCTTAAACCTACCTGCCCAGTCCACAGATTTTGTCACTGTTTGTAACCTTTATTAAGGATTTTTGTGCCATTACAGGTGCGCGATCTAGTCCAGCTTGAGTAACCTTTTTCTGTTAACCTCAACAGTGTAAAAATCATATTGGAAATTTTGGATTGAAACCGTGCGTGGTAACTCTTAGTTCGCGCACTTGTATATATTTTTTTAAGAAAATATGCAAATTTCCTTATGTGACAGTGTCACATGCTCATCGCAGTAAACGTTGATTGTAACCATATAAGAAGTTGCCAAATCATATTTGTTCCTCTGCAGCCGAAACATATAATTTTTTGTGCTGGCTATAATAATACTGAAAAGATTTAATCAATTTTTACTGTCGATGCACTGGAAGTGTTGATAAAATATTGCACCAAATAATTCCTTTCCTCAATTTGATCAATTCATTTGATAGAAAATTGATCAACTTCCTGATACTTTTAGATGAGCCAATTAGATTTTGTTTCAGAACCAATTGACCAATAGGAAACGCACATGAAGTAAAAAGAAATTTGGATACGTATGAATTGATCAACTTGGGGAAATGAATTCATGCAATATTTTATCAACACTTCCATTGCATCAAGAGTATTATTATTGATCTGTAGAAATGAAGGACGTGAGGAATAGTTTGACCTTCGATGTAACAAAGACGCCCGGGATGAAGATGATGGAAAATTTGATGGCTGCCATGCAAACCAAGCTCCACCAATTATTCCTTCATCCCACCGTCAACTCAATCCGAACGGTCGAAACTAACCTTCAAGAGTCCTTCATGTATTTCGCCAGAAGATTTGACGCGTTTGTTTCTGAATTGCCACCACGTAAGCAAATACGAATTTATATATTTCAAAGCCGCTGTTCCAGACAACATTGGAGGGCGAGGGTACAAATGCCGCTTCACTATGTACACCCGGTGACCCGGAAAGGAAAGTGGGCTGATTGAAAATTTCATCAATGATTCTGGGTGTATCTCACTGAATTAACTTAATGTGGCGAATGTCAGGCGTGTAGTGAGTGCTATTTGAAAAATCTCAATGAAAATCCACAGTATCTGGCTCTATATTTTATAAATAGCTGATGGGGCCAGGATTGACACAAATGGCAAGTTATATATATTTATCATTTATAGACCCAGAGCGAGGGGGATTCGGCGTAATATTTCCCGAAGTGATGATATTTTCCAAGGGGCTTTGTCCCGAGCAAAATATCATCACTGAGGGAAGTATCGCCGAATCCCCCGAGCGGAGGGTCTATAAATGATATATTATACCGAAAGTTAAAGAACTCACCAAGAGTCTATCAAGTTCAGAATAAACTTTAGAACTTGCTGAATAGTGAATATTAACTACGCGAAACCATTTTTAATTTCTTATCTATACCTGAGTTTTTGACGTTTTCTTCTTAAAATATTTGACCAAGTATCCTTTGGATCGTTGAATGTAACATACGTGTTGAAATATTTTGTTAACTTAGTAAATCTTCTGTAGTTCTGTACGAAATTACAAACAACAGCTCTCGAACGCCATATTGTTTCAGAGCGTGGTGTCCACGCGTCACGCGTGAGCGTGGGATACTATAATATCCCACGGTGGATCTGCCGTGGGCTATTATAGTATCTCACACTGGATTGCGAAATCATGAATTTGAGTGAAATACCGTAAATAATCACACTATCACGTGGTACAAAGTTTTTTTAGATACGTATTCGTCAAGAAAACTATACTTTTCTGAAAACGCACGTGATGTGATATCACACCGGTGGTATTTGCATCCCCAAAAAAGTACTCTGGTCTGATTCGTAATAACTTCTAAACAAGTACAGCTTTTAAAGAGAAATAACTTGCCTCATAGAGAAAGGATTAACTTAGATTTTGATAACTTAGACAGTTGTGTTTCACTTAAAAATTCTCAAAAGTTTTCATCTTAAAAGTTTTCATCTTAAATTTTCAATCTTAAATTTTCAATCTTAAATTTGTCATTATGGAGCTGAATGTGTACAAATTTCAATCAAATTTTGTCCATACCTCTGTAAGAAGTGCCTCTTAGCGTTTTCGATCTAAAATTTGTTGTTTTGGGGCTAAATTTTTGCTTCAGTGGTTCAATTTCTCCTTCGTGATATATTCTGAATGCGTAATGAGCTAACTTGGATACCCACATATCGGAATTTTAATTAAATTATCACAAAAAATGTAAACAAAACCCGCGCATGAGCAGAACGGACTTGACAGCCTCTTTAATCATTTACAGCGTTCCATTTATTTAGTTTTGGTTTCAAATTAAGTTCACTCCAATAACCGGTGAATTATTCATACTTTGACACTTGTATACTATATAACAAAACACTTATTTACTAAGACCTCAGGAAAGCAGTGTGTTTTGTGGCCCCTCGACCGCGATTGTTGCCCTCGGCTCCGCTTCGGCAACAACAGCGGTCTTGGGTCCACAAAACACACTGTTTCGCTCGGTCTCAGTAATTAAGTGATAAATATATTATACTTATACGGAATTTTTAACTTCATTTCCGCTAGGCATTCAAGTGCATCAGAATCCCGACTTTTTCTTGAAAGGCGTGGAGAACATCATCCAGAGATACTACGTACTGGCAAGCAGGTTCTTAGATCGCACCATTACTCAAGAGAAAATCTTTTCCTTGTTCTACCAAGCTGTGTTGGAGCTCATCAGACGGAAATCAGTAAGGTATGGTGTATTGATTGATATGCTAAAAGGTAAGGTAAAGAGCCTATAATTCAACCTCGTTTCCAGGCTCTTCCCTCTTGAGGAGGAAAGACCCTGGTCGGAGCTGATCACGTGGCTTACAGAAAATTAATTGCCTAGGGGTGTGTGGGAAATGTATCAGATTACATGCTTCCACTTCCGCACTTAACACTTCGATCGCAAGGGGTGACATCACATACGCAAGTCAAAATACTTGCTAAATTTGATTTCTGTTTGCTCTTAAATTATAAAAATAATATATATTTACATTATTCATAAACTATATACGCACAAAGTCTCGCACAAACATAGCATTTATATTTTACGAGATTTTATAAGCATTTTAAAGTTTCCGTTGATATATTGATAGTCTGTTTGTCTTCAGTATATACGGCATTAGTTAGATGCTATATTTAATTCTAAAAAGTTGATTGCTATGTCTCACAGCAACGTGTGTTTATTTTTGCTGCCGAAGGCAGCACACTATTCTTGACGATTTGTTTTTCTCGCACCAGTCCGTTTCCGGCCGAGTTATGTATAGCCGAGTTATGTATAGGTGAATGTACGGATTTTCAGATTTATGACGTATTTTGACGTCACAGAAATTTACTGTAAAAAAATAACATACCCTGTCTGAGACTCGCGAACACCACCTTGGATTATTACAATTTGTAATTTGTAAATAACACGTTGCCTCCTGCCTCTTGTAAATTTTGATTCCAGGTTGCTGCAAATTTTATGTCTGGCTGTTTATCGAAATATTTTTTACGTCTGGCTATTTATCGAAAATATTCTTCAAGATAAGATGAAAGTTTGATCTCAAATAACAATGTGTTTTGGTCGAATTATTTTACCCATTCGGAAACGAGTGAATCCACTATTGGAACACACAATGACACAATTGTAGACGAAGGAAAAATTATCTGACTTGTAGGCTACAAATATTTTCCCTTAGTAATTTACATGTCAAGCAGTTACATGTGTTAAGATTGTTAACCGGGCCGGCTTTTGTAAAAGGTATGAATGTTTTGGTCGAATTATTTTACCCATTGAAACGAATGAACCCACGCACTATTGGAACACACAATGACACAATTGTATACGAAGGAAAAATTATCTGACTTTATAAATACAAATATATTCCTATAGCAACCCAGTGTGGATTGTTGTTTGCACACAGTAACTTACCAGCAGTTACATGTATTAACATGTCAACCCTCTTTTGTAAAAGGTATGACTGTCTGTAAAAATATGTCTCACATTTTGTATTTTCTTGAAAGGAACTAAATAATGAAGATGCTATGTGACAATTGAAATATTTCATCACTTATTATAATAAATAAAATAGCAAATAAGATTTTAAAGTCAAACATATACAGTACACATCTAACAGGACTGTATATAGCAGGGAAAGCAGCAGGGGGCTCCACGCACCCAACACCCCCCGCCGAAAACTAATTTTATAATGTGATTATGATTGTAACAGATAATTATGCAGTCAGGAAATAAAAATTTCAGGCAAAACTTTAATGTAATCATATGAAGCAAAAATTCTGTCACTTGTTGTTTACACTTGCCAATGTTAAATTTTCAGTAACATACCGTACACGAAACTATTCGAGGAACATGCAATACTGTAGCAAAGAGGTCAATTGTATATCGGACACCACTGAATAGTACAGAATGTTTTAAAGGTCATGAGTGAAGTATATAATTCAATTCCAGTCATGTACATAGTTAATGATATACCACTATGTTCGGTTTATATCGACACAGCGCAGTTATTGACCTGATCCATCCATATATAATATATAATATATAATATATGATTATTGTAGCTGTTAAGTTATTTTCCATACTAATGAATTTTGGTAAGATTGTCTTGCAAGTGGTTGTTGTGACGAAATTATCAAGCCAATATCCAGTCACATTTATTCATCATTGTTGTATTAATCTCTAAACAAAAACATTTAGCTAGAAAGCAAAATGACAATGTAATGAGGGCAGGTGGGGGTTCTGTTATTAGCATTTGAAAATGTTTCTAAAAATTTTGTAGTGGTATAAGTATTTTAAATTAACTGATAACATCTAAACTTTGCCTCTAACACTACATTTGATGACAGCTTAGTTGGACTGTTGTTTTGAACAGAAATTGTTGAGTTACAGAAATACAGGACAGGAGTAGGACCAGGATTTAATTCAACATTAGCTTCCTTTGATATTGTATATAATGTATAATGATTTGACAATTTATATCGCGCTTTGTACATGACAAAATGATCGAAAGCGCCTTACAAGTATGCTATGAAATACAATTACAACTATATCGAAACCAATATCAAGAGTACAGTTATCTCAATGGTCCAAAGATCAATTTAAAGCTAGTCTAAAATAATAAGACTTAAGATTCGAATCACGAATCTCCACAGCACTACGAATATTGCCTGCTATGTTTTGACTGTTTAAAATATCGCACAATGATTGTTTTACTGTATAAAGTTTTTGTGAACTAAGTTGACAAATTGCTTAAAATGTTTGTATGAACTAATAAAAATATGTGGCATTTGCACATATTTTGTATTTAAATATGTAATAAAAACATGTGATGTTTGACTACATACCAGATGAGGATAATTTTCCATATTGACAGACACTTCGTAATAATTTCGCAAGTAGAATAGCGAGAAAACAAGACAGCCAATTCAAGAATCGAGATAAAATCAAGATACTTTTGAAGCCAAAATCTGTGCCAAAATGGCAAACAATATAAACACCTGAATAACACGAGGCAAAACCATGCCCGTTCGCAGGTTAGATGATGGATACGATGTAGCATAATCGCTGGTTGGCTTAAATTATATAAGCTCGTCGCTGAATGGCTATGTGCTAACATACGGTACGGTACGTTTCCGATAGCATATATATCTGCTTCCAAGATACTAAGGCCCCGTTTACACTATACCGGATTACTTTTCATACCGGATTACTTTTCATATCACCTCCAAAGCGGAGTGATTTTTGCTCCGCGTACCGGATTACTGTGGCGTAGTGTAAACAGCAGCCGAATCCGGTATGAAAATCGCTACGCTCCGATGCAATTCGGTATAGTGTAAACGGGGCCTAAAATACAAGCTAGATCTCATGCTATTCCATGACAAGACAAAATTGGGATAGATCAAGCTACAAAGCTACTGGTAATAAAACCTCTTTATAATATTTATAATGTGCCTGGTGTATATTACCACAGAATACTACACAGAAGTCCATCTCCATTGTTTTTTGCGTAACCGTTATTCGTCATGATTCGTCACTCAGCAAGTACCGTAAACAAAAGCAGTCACCCCCCTGGACATGCGCCATTTTTAGTATTTCCAGGGGGGTGACTGCTTCTGTTTACGGTACTTGCTGAGTGACGAATCATGACGAATAACGCTTACGCAAAAAACAATGGAGATGGATATTACTAGTATTCTGTGATATTACTGTGATAAATACCAAATGATTGTGTATACGCAATACGCATATTATACAGCTATTTCAATTAAGGTTGTCCACGAGCAACGCGGAAAAGTCGAATACGAGCGCGAAAGGCCGCTGGGAATCGCTTTGAAAATTCATTAATTTGTTAGCGATTCCCAGCAGCCTTTCGCGCTCGTATTCGACTTTTCCGCTTTGCTCGTGGACAACCATAATTGAAATAGCTGTATACAGTCTCTTTTGTATAATTAAATATTCAAACTGTAGCGCACGCAACGAAAGAGTCTTTGTCTTTGACTTTACCATACGTTTGATTACCGGCAGAATTCTTGATCATAGAGTCTCAGCGATGCCAAAACGGTTTACATATATCACAGTCTTTGAAGGGCTTTTCACAGTCGGGAGAGCATGTTTAGAATTTACACACAGTTGGCCGCGGGTCACAGGATCTTGCTGTTTTATAGCAATTCCACGTCTCTACACGAGGTAAATTCGTTGGGTTTACGTATCGGACAGGACACACTTCAACACTGACAACGTCACAACCATATCGTTGTCTCTCGTTTGCTCGACCGGTCTAGAAGATTTTTACGGCGAAAAGCGTCCTTTCGTTGCCAAGCCCGGATCAAACTTCTCGCTTGACTAATGTAACCCAACACTCTATGATATAGAGGAAGTCGAGTCAAAATAAATACGAAATCTTTCAGGATTTCTGTTGCAAATTTAGATTTTATCGCCCGAAACTATAACACACAAGTTGTAATTTTCCAAGTGCAACAAGCGCACTCACCCACCACCCCTCCCTAAGTACAATTTCAATTTAGCACCCAGAATCCGGGAGCCACGTGAGCAGCTCCGACCAGGGTGTTTCCTCATCAAGAGGGAAGAGCCTGGGAACGAAGTTTCCTATAATTGTTTTCTTATCTTTGAGGTATATCTATGAAGGAGGATTATTTTATGAACTATATATACACTGTTAAAAAATCCTGATTTTTTACTGTACAAAGTACTGGCTGCTTGGGCACCAGTACTTTTTACTGTAAATTAACCGAAAATGTTAAATTGAAAGATGGCTGTATTTTTTACAGTTGTATTACCGTTTATTTAGACAGAAAAACAACTGTAAAAAGAAACAGAAAATAAAGGGTATTTTTACAGTTTTCTGTCATACTTTTACTGTAAATTAACAGAAATTAAAAAATCATCCAGACATTTACTTAAAAAATCATCCAGACATTTACATTTACTTTCGTTCACTGGTTGGAAAGAATGCCCACCTTGCAGTTATGCCGAAATCAATGTAATGATGACAGAGATTTATGATTTCCTTAAAATTTTTGTATTGTCCAACACAACCATTTGGTAATATGTCCTTAACATTTGCCTAACAGTTGTGCTACAATTGCTTGCAGGTCCAAAATTTGAAATGCTTTAGTACCCCGCAGCACTCCAAACGGGTGTTTATGTATCTTTTACACGTTCTTCTGTCTTTCTGGTTGAGTTCGTTCCAAAGTAAGGCAATATCAAAAAAGAACGACGAGGCTTCAAAATATCCCCCCTTCTTTTTCTTCTTTTCTTCCATTCCAAACCTCCCATGTCAACGTTTGGAAGGTCGTCCACCATTGATAAATCTTGGACGTTCGTCGCCGGTTGTTGCTGTTGGTGGTCCTGTTCTTGTGCTGGTTGTTCTCGTGGTTGACGACGCAGTCGTTTTGCTTTGAAATTTATAATTTATAGATAATTGAACTCCACATCATAATTTATAGGTAAGTGGATCATTTCCTTAGTTCTTCCAGTGATATATGGTTTATCGTCCGCATACACTTTGATTGATTTACAAGGGTAAAAGGTATCAAACATGTTGTTTGTTGTCTCAAGAAATAAACTCATCCCATCATCGACTTCAGCAGCGTTAAATACAAATGACCAATATATTCTCTAATGTACTGCTGAAGTTGAAGTATAGATGAGTCTCTCAGCGGTGTTACTGTTCTATTTCCTTTTTTGTTTCGTAACTGATTTCGATTTTTTGGTCTCCATACAATTCGTCTGGAGATCCCACATCATAATTTATAGATAACTGGTTCCCCCACATCCTTATGCATAATAATAGTCCACACCATTGACGATGTTTTCACTATTTATGCTTTTTCAGCCAGCGTAGCACCTTCCTTCTTTTCTTTACCTTGGGTGTTGCTCGATGATTTGCTTTTTTCGCACGTTTCTGGTGAGCATTTTTGAAACCCATTTCAAAGAAATACCATGGAGTACAGCCTTGCTCCTTCAATATTTCAATAACAGCCTCGGAATCAATGTTAAAATGTGCAACTGCATCCTATATACCCAATTTAAGGGCATTGGCACCCACAAAAATACTCTTTGGTAGCCTGTTCCAATCATCCCATTTAGCGACTCATTCTGGTTTTGTGTTTTACCTTCCAGACATTTACTCAAAAGTGTGTCTGTACTAAGTCTGGC